GAGGGCTGCCGCTGCCTCTAAGGCCGTAACAGGGCTCACAATATGTTTGACACCCCCACGATTGACGCTCCGAACTAGGCGCCTGTCAACACCTTCTCATATTTTTCCTTTCATATTTTCAATTTTTCATTACATTTCAGTATTCTCATTAGGGATGGCTGGATTTTGTTCATTTCTGTCTTTTTCACGTCTATCTCCCAGCCATCACCTACAATCACCCATTACTTTAATTACTGAACTTGCAGCTGATAGCTCCACTGATTATAGCCAGCCAATAGCGTGTAGACTTGTTGTCTCACCACCTGTGACGTCAGCAAGTCTATAAAAGCTTGTGCTGCCCTAAAATCTTGGTCTTACTCCATCCCCGACCCGTAATAGTACGTAGTGCCCATTTTCGCCCTTTTGGCACATTTTTAAGTGACTATTCCAATTCTTGTAATTCTGTAACTTTTCTCTCTTTCGGTCTCAATACAATTCCAAATTTTCCATCTCGAAATTTCTTTATTTAATTCCATCCCAAGTAGTTTTTGTTCCTACTCAAAGAGCAACTGGTGCCGAACGGTTATTTCCAACTCTCATTTATGATAGCGCCCTAGAGTGCATTCTTTTCGTGTCTCTTGCGACGGGCCTATAACTATCAAATAACCGGATTTGTTTGAAAAATCTTGCACGTCAGACACGGGGGATTGTTAGAGACATTTGCAATTGCGATTTGTCTGGAAGCCAAATTTCTGCATCTGCGACGACCTACGCCGCCGGGCCTGGCGTGACGTCTACCCTGACGACGCCAAATCTCATCATCGCTCTCGGTAGAACGCCTAGCGTCAAGTTAGAAATCCCAAAATCAGCGAAATAGCATCAGAACGTACTTCAGAGCATGATTCAGGCCTAGATACACGCTCAAATTTCCGTCGATTTCCGATCAAAATTATGACAAAAATGACGGTCAAATATTTGCAGGCCGCGAAAATTTGATGGTAGATAGTGCGCACCAGTCACCACTTGATCGGAAATTGATGGAAATTTGAGAGTGTATCCAGGCCTTTAGATGTATTACGTAAAATCGAAGACAGGACGCTTGCCCATTTGCGGATCCAGCAAATTGGCAACATTGTCTTTCCTCCATTAAAACCTATGGGAATGTATCGATTCTTGGTAGGGCCAAGTGCTTCGACAAAATTCGATTATTCTACATTGATTCAAATGGAGGGAATCCAGTGCTGCCAAATTGCTGGATCCTCCTCTGCGCTTACCATGCAATAATGATACAAAGAGCACCCATACTGTGGGTTGATTATTGAATTGATCAAGAAAGTGATATGCAAAGAAGACGTAGGGAGTATGAAGCGATCCTGTATGGTTGAAATGAGGGGTTCCTATATACCAAGGCTGTAAATGATGGACACATAGGGTCTCTCGAGGGTTCCAGTTAGTCAGTCTATTATCTATATCCTTTGTCCATCGCAACCACTCGCTTTCACCAATAAGGACCACTCTATATCCCTTTTATCTTCTTTGTCTATAGCTTTGTCTAATGTCGAAAAAGAGGACTCAAGTCGTCAAGACTAGATTCTCAAGTCGATGGATGCCAACAGGCGATTTCCGGCGCCGCACAGTGGATCGAGTAAATAGGAGGGGTCGGAAAAAATTTGGGAAATTTGAACGCTTATAACTCCGTTTAGACAAAACTTTTAGGTTTCTAAAGTGATTCCATTGCTTTTCTCGTGAAATTTCTTTCTGAATGCACCCCTTAAAATTTAAAATGTGACAATATGAACATCAAAGTCGATAGCGCGAATGGATCGTATTCGATAGTAGTGCGATATATCGTTTGGTTGAAAACAATACAACATAACCTCTGACAACAATTTCACGATTATAGTTGGAAACGCTGAGGATGAGAAAATTCCTCACTATTTCAATTATTGCCATTTGGTACTCAAAAGAATAAAAAATCTATCACATGAGACCCGTTCGCTCAGATTTCTAAATTGACTTTTCAAGCTATACTGTTACGTGTTAAACCAATCGATATCGATACTATCTCACCAGTTCAATGCAGCGAGTACGATCTATATCATTAAAATAACCGGCCCTCTAAAACCAATTAACAACATGGATCTATTTTACATATCAAGGTTGACATCTGAATGAAGGGAGAAGGAAGGAGGATTCTGTGGATTTCAAAAATACTAGAAAACTCCATTTTATGATAAAACATATTTACAAGTTTTTAATAAAATAATCGAAATTTTTGAAAAACAGTAAAGGCTGTATTAAAACTTTTAAAACTTTTTTGAAAAACTCATGCTTGCTTTCACTAATTTGTTTAGTGTTTAGTTCGCTAACAAAGAAATAACTTAAAACGGGACTAAGGCCGCAAATAGTAAAAAGAAACACATAAAATAAAATAAGAAACGGTTTAAGTGTTCCTTTGTATTATTTGCGGCCTTAGTCCCGTTTTAAGTTGTTTCTCTGTTAATGTTTCGGGCCGATTAAGTTGTTTTTTCTTTCACTAAAAAATTAGTCAAAGCGTGAGTTTGTCAAAAAAGTTTTAAAATATTTACAAGTGTTTAATGTATGCCCTGTGTGTAGTTGGAGAGGTTGTGAATATTAACTTACATCCTTTTGAATTGACATATTCGTTACAAAAATTAATTATTTCTTAGCTTTATTACACACATAGGGGCGTATTTCTACCAAACAGAGCAATGTGCGGGTGGGATATATGGGGTGTGTTCGTTATTTCCCGGGCGGGAATTAGAAAGCGCCAGTGACGTCAGCGGCAACAAAACCGCAAGGTCATCCGCGGCGGTCTTCAACTCGTGAGCCCTGTCCACAAGGCTCTTTTGCCGTGCCCACGGCTCATGATTCCCGCATACTGTTGGGACATAGCTCCGCTTGGTGAAGTTAAAATCCCGCTTTTCCATTTCAACAAGAGGAATCGCGCACACTTTCCATTGTTTTTTATCCATCTCATAACGAGCACGAAACAGAAACAACAGGAATGATACTTAAAATTCTTCCCTTCAGAAGAAATTGTATTTCACGATAGGTAACAATCAGGATAGTCAGAGTAACGACGAGGTACCCCCTGAGACCAAGATCATGCCGAGGAAAAAATGTTAAATTTACTCCCATAAATATAAAATGTAAAATTGAGAAACCGGATTATAATTATTTAAAGGCATGGTGATTCGATGGACGCCATATTTTGTGTCAAAACGGCATGCGTTATATCGCATCGATAGGTTCCATTTTTTCAGCTACTCATCATTTTTCTCCAATTTTGAGATCGCAATTCTGTTGTCAGGAGACTAAAGCACTCACTTACCAATTTTAACAAAGAAATTCATCGTAATAAATGCGTGGTTTTTTCAGAGAGGAAATATCGCATTCGAGTGCAGTTTCGGTATCAGTATCGAATGATATATTTTCTCTCTAAAAAAACCACGCCTTTATCACGTTGAATTTCTTTGTTGAAATGGGTATGTGAGTCCTTTAGTCTCCTGACAACAGAATTGCGATCTCAAAATTGGAGAAATATGACGAGTAGCTGAAAAAATGGAACCAATCGCTGCGATATATCGCATGCCGTTCTGACACAAAATATGGCGTCCATCGAATCACCTTAATCCTAAGATTAAAAGAAATCAATAAATAAACTCATCTATTTTAGCAAACACGATTCCCATTAATAAAAATAAATACAATAAAAAAGAAATAAAAAAATGAATAAATAGAATAAACAAATAAAATATTTCCATAGGTCTGTTTAGTAGAAATTCGTCCACATAGTTCTTAAAAATTTAAATTGTTTAAGGTAGTTACATATCAATCTGGAGTCATTCCATCAGTGTGATGGGCCTCTCTTTTTCGAAATTTACTTGGAAAACGAGTCACACCAAAGAAAACCTAGGAATTAGCTCCTTCACAAGATTTTAAGTGTTCACAGTTACCATTGGTTAAAGGCAACTATACGAATGATGTCATTTGTATAATCTAACTTCCATTTTATCTATGTTGTAAAATAATTGTTGAGACTCTGCTTATGAGTCAATACTCAAACTTTCTGTGGTGTGAATCGCTTAGAATGTAAGATTTCAAAGAGAAAACATGTGATGTTACAGCCTTCATCAGACCTTGTCCAGTGGTTCACTGCTATACTTGACTCACAGATTAAATTCTCGTGAATGGCATAACTATAAAAAATTAAAACTTTAAAGAAAGAATAGAAATACATACCCTTTTTTAAAAATTTAAGTTTTAACTATGAAACTTAACAGTTAATCGCGATATTATGTAAAGAAGCTAATTAGAATTTCATAATTACGTAAGACCGAATTCGATTATTTTTTTACACATACATACATATAGGTCGCTTTACAGCACTCCCTCGCGCTCTACGACCCCTAACCTCCACTGCTCTCTTTCAAACCACAAATCTTGGGGGATTGAGCACCTTAACATTTTCGCTTCAATCCCTTCCCTCCAACCTTTCATTGGGCGCCCTCTGCGTCTTCTCCCAGGAGGAACCCCATTAATTTTTTATAATTCATAAAATATAGCCTCTAGATGTATAAAGTAATGAAGGTTACTGAGGTTTGGAAAACTTGGAATTAGAGATAATATGAAAGTACGGAAACTGTGTTAAAATGTAGTTAACACTAATTAAAATACATCTAATAAATATTAACTTGCAATAATTTTTTTATATATTTTTAAATTGTTTTGGTCTTAACTACTTTTTTCCATTTCGCTCTTCACCCATGTCCTTGGTTTAATTGTCCATGCACTGAAAAAAAATATGGTAGATTTTAGCATGCTTTGACACAGTGATCCGACGGTGCCTATTATTACACACCAGACTCGATACGGTAGCTTTTACCATGTTGTGGCAACGGTCACCAGATTTCTGGTAAATACTACCATAATTATCAGTATTTTCACAAAATAGTATTTCTGTGTAAAAAATCATGTAGCTTTATAGTAGATGTTACACCATACTTTTTTTCAGTGTGGCCTACACTTTAACCTGAACTGTACCCGCCTTCATTCTCGGAGTCCGATGACATTGAACTGGTACGTTTGATAGGACTGGTAGGCTTGGTAATTTCAGCCTTGTTCCCAAAACTTAATAAAGAAGTCAAGTTCGTAAACTTCTTGCTCCTTTTCAAAGAACTCTTAAATCTTCTGATTGCGCCCCAGCCTCTTGATGGAGTCGCCGATTGAGACGGATTTTGGAGATTCATCCCGCCCAGGCTCTTAGCCAGTTGGTCCAACCCAGGGTTTGTTGTTTTGTAAAAAGGTATAGGTGTTGTGGGTTTTGAGGATTTTTTTCCGTTCGGACCCTGAAAGCCGAGGTATCTACTCGTTTGTTTGGCCGCTGGGGATTGTCTATCCTTTGGAGTTCTTGGCACCCTGATTTGAAGATCCTGATCTTGGTTGTTGGAGTCATCTTCCGGGTTGAGGAAGTAATCATCAGTCTTCGTTTTTAGCTGAGGATGCGTCAAATTTGCTGAAACAGTGGTGATCAACTTTATCAGCCAACCAGCGCACTAAACAAAAATATAACCTAAGGAATGACTTCAATACGCAAAACTCAAAAAGTAAGTTAAACACCAGGACGTTTCGAAATATAACAGTTTCATTTTCGACTGGAAAAATGTAATATAAAAGAAAAATGAATCGTCAATCTGTCATTCCATTTTTCCCTCTTCCATTTTTCCCCGATCTTTAATTTCTCGTTGAAAATGACATTTTTTACTCCAGAAGCGTCCCGGTTTTATTTCAGTTTTGGTTTTTTGTGATTTGCAGCCTTTTCCCAGGTTAATTCAGTAGAGACAGAAGCACAGCATCATTCAGCTGACATTCTCAGATGACAATCTATTTTTACCATGGATTTTATACTTCAAACCCACTATATAAGGCTATAATATTGGTGAAAATCACAAAAAAAAAAAACAATTCTGAAATCAGATTTTGGGTTTATTCCTCAATTTGAAATTTGGATAATTCGGAAGGGGGACAATTGGACTGCATTTTGCAATTTAAACTATAAAGTCTGGCTTTTCTGGAAAAAACACTTATGTGCATAGGAAAACTAATGGCACATACTGTGTTTCTAAACCGGGCAAGAATGTATAGTTCCAAATTGTAAAAATTAGTCAAATTGCAAAAGCATACATATGAATACAGTTCTGATAGAAAATTGTATTATCTCTATCAATTGTTCCGCACAATTTTTTTTTTCTCTGACCAATATTTTAAAGTTACGAAACAGGACTCTTTTAAAGGTAACTCTTTGGAAATCGTCCTCAGCTGCTATTTAAAAAAACTAAGAATCCATTAAGTTCCTGATGGGTTGCGTTAGTATACTTTTTTCTGTCTGATTTGGATCCTAAATACCCTGCCACTTCATGGCAATGGTTTCCGCAACTTATTCCAAGGTTAGAAACTAGATTTACTAGACCTCAAAAAAGTCTTTTCGCCTATGTACATCTTCAGTGTGCGGTAGGTCCGCTTTAAAATAAAAACAAATACTGATCGATACATTAAACAACTCGTACAATTCAATTTTAAGAAAACCTTACATTACAAAATAATTAGTAGCAGTATGAACACAAGTCAAGATGTATGTGGCAAAGATCAGCCAGAATCTGGAGGAGGGAGCACGTAAGGAATGAAACGGTGCTTGAGATCATCGTAAGCAGAACATCGTGCATGAAATTATGACCAAACAGCTTGTCTGGTAAGGTCATGTTCATCGAATGGCGGATGGCAGATTGCCTAAGAAAATATTAGATTATGTTCCTCCTGGGAGGAGACGTAGGGGACGTCCAGCAAAATCGTGGATGGATGGCATTCAATATGAAATTACAAGATGCCATTTACCAGATGCCCTCTGGGTCGATAGACAAGAATGGCGACTAGGTGTCGCAGAGTGCCCGAGAGCGCTTTAAAAGCGACTTGAGTGTATGTATGAACACAAGTGGGAACATAAATGATCAAAAAAAGTTGTACTTAAAAATGTTACCTATAGCAATAGACGGTTGCGTTACGAACTGAGCCGGCCCGTGTGTGCTTTGAGTCGCAGAACTAAACACAATAACGCAGATCCAAACCAAAACCCATCGAAACTTGAGTGCAGCAAACATGTTGGACACGCTTTATTGCGGTCACTGAACGATAAAATACTTGAGTTGAAAAATCTTAATGTCGTTTTAAAATGCAATCACATAATTGGTCAAATTTGGTGTAAGTGTGTGCTGGATCCGCCCTGACTTCACTCTTCCACTCATATCAAACGAGTAATCCTCTCGTCAGTTTCAAAGAGGGATAGGATTAAAAAAATATATGATTCCATGACGCACTTACTCGCCTAAACGGTGGGTCCTCCGTAGAAAATTTTACACGAGTATTACATTTTTTCCTTCTTGAAACTCTGTTGCGCCTCGCATCACGATGAGTTTCACAGAAATTGATTTTGATACTTCGTGCGTCATGCGTCATTGCTTTTTGGAGCCGAGGGTGGAAACGTTCGCAGCAGCGAAAACACTTAACGACGGTGTAAGTCTGTAAGTCGGCAATCACATAACTCGGTTTGCGACGTCGCAGATTTTTTGTCATACTTTATTTTTTAAACCTTTGTTGCATGAGCTAAATCGTTGATTTTGTAGAGGAAATCTACATCGTACAGTATTTTTTCGACAATAGAGTCAGTTGGAATCGATTTTTGCAGTTTTTTTTTAAGTCAGGAGATCATACTTATAATGCTCCCCAAAAATCATTTCTTGCTTCGATTCAAAGAATAATCCAGGGTAGAAATAAAGCTGAAAACCATTTGTTGCTTTCATGCAATGCTATGCAATAAAGGGTTAAATGGAAAATTACTCAACTGCAATTCTTTAAAATTGCCGTGATTTTTCTTCTCTGAGTGAAGAAAATTCAGCAAAAACTTCAGTAAATGATGTCAATTTGTTCTCCTTTAAAACAATAACTTAGAGGCGGAGATTTTCAGACACCGCAAACGAGTTATGTGATTGCCGACTTTCACCGTTGATAAGTCGCTTTTAATTTTCTTGATATTTATGTTCTTTTTCCTGTCATTGCTTTAACCTGAGATGATTTAAGGTGATTCGATGGACGCCATATTGTGTCAGAACGGCATGCGATACATCGCATCAATTGGTTCCATTTTTTCAACTACTCGTCATATTTCTCCAATTTTGAGATCGCAATTCTGTTGTCAGGAGACTGAAGCACTCATTTACCAATTTTAACAAAGAAATCCAACGTAATGAAGTCGTGGTTTTTTTTAGAGAGAAAATATCGCATTCGATACTGATATCGAAACTGCACTCGAATGCGATATTTTCTCTCTAAAAAAATCACGCCTCTATTACGTTGAATTTATTTTTTAAAATTGGTAAGTGAGTGCTTTAGTCTCCTGACAACAGAATTGCGATCTCAAAATTGGAGAAAAATGACGAGTAGCTAAATAAATGAAACCAATTGATGTGACATATCGCATGCCGTTCTGACACAAAATATGGTGTCCATCGAATCACCTTAAGGTACAAAGAGGAGAAACGAGCACATCTACACCTCGCAAAATCCAAAAAGACCATAAAACATGGTCTTCATAATATTATAGAAAAAATAATCTTAACAATTTGGGGAGCTCCTCTGACCTCCCTCGGTGTCCATTATCTGGGATGCTACCATTTTCCAGAGAATCAACGTCAATGAGTCTGTTGTATGCAACACCAAAAAAAATATGTTGAAAAAATGTGCAACACCTTTGGATGTTTTTGTTAACACTCTGGTGTTACAGTGCTGTCTGATAAGCCAAGCTGTGCGGTTCTCCCTCAGTTCAGCGCTCCTCGCTATCATTCTTGATAATCTCTTTCGTTTTGTGCCTGCTATGCCCTGCTGGCATCTCGGGTTTTTCAATTTCGAAGTTAAAGCTAACCCCAAAATATAGTTAAACTTTTGTGTTTTTCGCCTTTACTACCCCTGCAATGGCGGGGGTAGGCAGTGAAAATGAGAAAATAGACTCTTCAAAAGAGCCTAGTGATGAAACACTAATTTCTAGAATCATTAATGCGAACATTAACCCGTTAATTAACGACAACCGAGTGGACGATAATCTAAAATTCTATCTCTCTAACTCGCAAAAAGTTGTTAAAGAACTTTCGGAAAAAAACAACCGCTTATTCAGTGAAAACAGTGCGCTCAATAGCAAACTCGATGTTTTGCTTTCTAAGTGGAACGCTAAAGAACAACATCAAGAAACGGTAATTTCCAATCTACAATCTCAAATCAATGATCTTAAAAACTCAAAAGGCTCTCGCTCCTCTAGCCAAGATAAATCCAGCTCTTTTGTTTCTAAATCTATTAAAGATCTTACTAAAGCTCAATCACAACTTCGTAAATCGAGCACTGTGGATTCAACCCAAACTAAACTTACTCAGTTTACTTCCTCCAAAGGAAATGCAGTTAAACCCAATCAATCATCCAAAGATACCTCCACAATTCCTACTGAGAACAAATTCGCCTCTCTAGATGATAACATGGAAGTGCAGGAGTGTTCTCAGACAGAAAATGTCTCAACCACTGAAGATGAGAACTCTGACCCTGAATTCAGAGCTAAACGTCATCAAATTAGGACCCAAAGACGCAAGCGCAGAAGGATCCAATCTGGAGATAAGGAGAATTCTGTCAATGGAAACGGCACCTCAGAAAATAAGGATAAGTCTAATGATAAGTTACCTAATTCTAAGATTAATGATAAGTCTTCTAAAACATTACCTCCACCACCTATCAAGGTTATTGGTATTAAAGATTTTTCAGAGATTAAAAATCTCTTCAATGAAATCTCAGTTAAAGATGATTATGTTATAAAATTCTTAGGAAACGAAACCTGGAAAATTAATGTGTCTAATGAAGATATTTTCAGGAAATTTTCTGAAAAACTAAATGGAAATAAAATTCAATGGTACTCGCATTCTAACAAGAATACGCGTAACATAAAAGTCTTATGCAAGGGTCTTCCACCCTCTATGCCGGAAGAAGAAATAGTTTCGGATCTTTTAGCAAAAAATTTCAAGATAAAATCTGCAGTTTGCTTGAAAAAGCGAGTAGAAAAATTATCAAAAAAAACCGATAACGCTAAAATAACAGATCCTCAATCTGACAAAAATCAAGATGAACCCGCTACTCCTGCAAAAATCATTAAAGAATATGAACTAGTAAACATTCCAGTTCATCAGCTCGATTTTGATCACTCAGAGTCATCTGAAAATATTTATAAAATTAAGGCAATAGCGCACACTGTAGTACGCATTGAACCATTAAAAATTGATAATAAAATTGTCCCTCAGTGTCGTCGTTGTCAGGGATTTTTACATACAGCAAATTATTGTAACAAGAACCCCCGCTGCGTAAAATGCGCGGGCAAACATCTAACATCAGAATGTGATCACAAAGGGAGGATCATTAATCCCAAATGCATAAACTGTGGCACCGTGGGTCATCCAGCGAACTATCGTGGATGCCCATTCGCCAAAGAGTTTCAAGTTGCTCGTAAGAAGCAACTCAAAGCTAAAAATAGCCCTCCGGACTCCAGTAGTTTCCCAAATTTGGGTAAAAATAAAAATAAAAATGTTGTTTCTGCTCCACCTAAAAAATTGGACAAAACCTTTGCCCAAGCTACATCAAATACCGCAGCTCCGGCAACGCAAGATGACTCAGCGGCTCTCATTAAAGTCTTATTACAGACAATCGAATCTCTAAATACGCAACTTAGAATTCTCACCGAAAAAGTGAGTAAACTAGAATCTAAGAAATAATGTGTAACAATCATGATTCATCTTTTGATTTGCTTTCGCAGGAAACGGAGGAGACAGTCATTGACTTCGACGACTTATCTCTGCTCCAAGTTAAAAACAATCAAAAGACATTAACATTCTTGGCATGGAACTGTGGCAGCCTTACCAGGGTGAAGGCCGAGGAATTCAACGTCTCGCTGAGAGATTTCAATGTGGATATAGCCCTTCTGTCTGAGACCTGGTTCACCAGGACAGATTACAAAAGGTACTTTTCAGGGTACAAAATGTATAACTCTTTTCATCCGTCAAACAAACGCAGAGGTGGCTCTTCCATCTTAATTAAAGAATCAATTAAACACAATCTGATTAAAATCATAGAGTCTGACGCCTTTCAAACCGTAGTGATAAATGTTCAATCAGATATTGACTCATTCAACGTTGCTTCTCTCTACACCCCTCCTCGTAACGTTCTCACAAAGGACGATTACATTGGTTTCCTGGATGAACTGGGTCCCAAGTATCTGGTGGGCGGGGATTGGAATGCTAAAAACCCCAGATGGGGCTCGAGGATAGTTAATCCTAAAGGCGATTCTCTTCTAGAAGCCGTAAATTTTTCAGGAGGGAACTTTATATCACCGGGAAAACCGACAAATTTTCCGTCGGCCCCTGACCACCAACCTGACTTAATTGACTTTTTCGTTTTTAAAAATATTAATCTAACCGATAAAACCTCATGTGACACAATTATGTCAAATGAAAAAGGTCACGCCAAGGTAATTTTAGAAATTTTTACTAATCCTATTCTTGAAAATCGACCCCCAGCATTATGTTCAAAAAGAACAAACTGGGATAAATTCAGACAAGATCTTGAAAAAGTCATAGACAACAGTGTTCCAATCCTCTCTCCGGCAGATATCGATAGAGAGACAGAGTTATTGGTGGAGAACATCAGAGTATGTGCCACTACTAATACCCCAGTTGCCTCAAATAACATTAAACCATATGCAATACCTAAAAATCTCCTTAAACTCATACGTCTTAAACGAAAAGCAAAAAGGATCTCATCAAACTCTCATTTCTCGGAAGATAAATCAAATTACAATAGATTAAACGCAATAGTTAAAAAAAGAATGCAAGAATATCTTAATTTCAAATTTGAAAAATTCATAAATTCTCTTTCTCCAACTGCCGATAAGAATTACTCCTTATGGGCAGCCACTAAATATCTTAAAAAACCAAAGCAATTAAAATTTCCGATCAGCAAGCCTGATAAAACCTGGGCAAATACGGACGCTGAAAAGGCAGAGATTCTTGCAGATCATTTTGAGGCAGCTTTTCAGCCTCACGAAGATTTGAATGTTCAAATAGACTCTGATGCTCCCACCAGTAACTCTGACTTGGAATCGGAACAGGGGGAAATATCCACATTGAAATCCCGTAAAGTCAGAAAGATTCCTCCAGTAAAAATAAAAACTATCTCCCCCTCAGAAATCCTAAAGGAAATCAAAGGGAAAATAAAAGCAAAAAAGGCACCAGGTTTTGATAAGATTTCTGGTCTCATTCTTAAAAACTTACCAAAAAAGGCAATAATG